GTAATCATAGCCTTATGAAGCACTATTCCACAACTGAAAATCTATTTCCACGACCCACCAGCTCCAAATGTTTAAGAAAATCTGTTTGCACGCGTTCCAGTTTGCTTTTACGGAAAACCTCCCTCAGTGCTGTTGGATCAACAAATGTCTGTGCAACAATCGGCAAATAGTAATAACTTACAAAGCTTTCCCTTTGATTGAAGATCTGTCGTGGAATCAAAAGGAAAGGCGTCATGCTTAGGTGCACTTGTTTTATATTGGCCGTATACATTGTTTCGTCTTCTCTTATATATTTTCAAACAGTTGTCCGGGCATTGAAACATCTGAAAAATAATACAAGTCGGAGTGTTTAACTTGACGTCTTCCTTCTAAAAACATATGGATTAGATTAAAAAGGAACTGTAATTTGAGTTTTCTTGATATTTATGTAGGTGTTAAACGTACTGGCTCCAATAAAGACAGAGACTCTGTAAGCCTAAATACAAATAACACGATAATTTTCGATTTATTCTTTCATTTTACTCGCAATCTTCTTCATTTCCTTATTCCTCTACTTTTCCGCCATTTTGTTCTTCAGTATTTTCACCTTGTCCGGTTCTTATTTTCTTTTTCCTTCTTATATTTTCTTCGGCATAATTTTCCTGTCTAATTTGTACTCTATGTATACGTGTACTTCTGTTGCAGGAGTTACTGGCATTGACTACTACTAATGTAAAGATAAACTTTTAAGTTCGTAAGGTAATTTGCATTCGAGAGGCTGCGAATTCAGAACAAAGGCTATTGCCTGTGGTAAAACACTATGCCCCAACCCACATTAATTTGGTCTCAGGATTCGAAAATTCTCAGAGTGGGGAGGGGGAGATCAGTTTGTACGCTACATTCATGATGATTAAATCATGAAGGAATACCAGGACGTAACTTTGTAGTCGTGTCTATGTGACAGTCAGTCTCACGTGATTCATATATCAATCCACACGTTAAAGCAGAGGAGAAGCACCATCCAATGATTTTTCTTTCAGAGAATTCCCGTTACTAGAAGAATTCCTGGGATTGATGTGTATGAGAAGGGTTAACGATTGTTTCGATGTCAGAGTAATTTAAAACTAAGTACAGCAAGAATCGAAAGGCTCTCATTGATGTTAAGAACAATGACAACTTAATTTCTAGGAAGAAATACGAAAAGAAAAAAGAAGAAGAGAGGCTTAAACATCTGATGTAAAGAGTATAAAAAGTTATAAGGGATAAAGAAAATATACATATATATGTGTTAGCTAGAAAACGAAACAGAGTCGGGGGGGGGGGAGAATTGTATAAAAAAACAATAACATGTACGCACAAAATGAACTAGTTAGGACATTGTTTCTGCTCTGAACCAGAGTCTAACCTCACTCAGTGCCCTCAATATATCCTCAGTAATTTTATCAGAATTAAAATATTTTCGTAACAATTAAACTACATTGAAAGTAAATTAATTTAAATTAATTTTATTGTGGTTAGGTACTATAAGTAACTAGAAGGCAATGGTTCTGTCTACCGCTTGCAGATGTTCTAGGACTGCGTTTGTCTGTTTAGTTTGCTTTGGTGTATGCAATGTTCAGAATTCTTTTATGTAAATTTACGGCAGCATGAGTTTATCATTCCAGTACATATATTTTATATTAGTTACTGTCGTTCCTAATTGCTTGAAAATAGCAACATTTTCGAAGAATTTATTTTGGATTGTTACTTTATAAATCTGTCCCAAAGATTTCATTCACCAGGCATGAACGCATTTGTTTCTATTGACTTCTAAAGTAATTAGTTGAGAGCCCATTGTATCTAAATGGGAAATTTAATTTAAATACATTACGTAGATCGTAGAAGTTTTAAATCGAAGGCTCCAGTTTAAAGTTTACAAATTTAATTTTCCTCTCTTTCAGTTTTTCAATTATCCAACTCAGTTTTTTTTTTTTAATTCACTTAGTGGGGTGTGGAGTTCAACTGGGTCCACTCGGCACGGCGGCCACTGATTGGCCTATTGTATCTGCTCCGAGTGATTATGATGATGGAGAATCTGGTTGAATGAAGATTAGCAGGGGACACCGAAGTACTCGGAGAAAACCAGCCCCAGCGCCACTTTTTCCACCACAAATTCCGTTTGACCAGACCCGACATCGAACCCGGACCGCCGCGGTGGGAACTAATCGCTTGAACTATGGCGCGGCCTATCCAACTCAGTTAGTTCAGTGATAAATATTCTGAATTTTATGTTCCCTCTAGGACCTGGAATAGCTCAGTTGGTACAGCGACTAAGTTACGAGTTGCATACCCGAATTCGAATCCAGGAAGAGACAAGAAATCGTTGACTTCTCCACAATGTCAACTCTGGATATGGAGCCTATTGATCGCTTAGCTAATGATTATCGTCGTCTATTTAGCCGGGGGTGAAGAAGCCATTAATACTACTAATACTCGTATAGAGCCCACTGAAATTTAAACGGGAAATTGCTGATCATAAACTATTGTCACGTGTAGGGGGTTACGAGTGACGATCAGCTGATTGAATTTTTTGGCACTTCGGTTACAATCTGTCTTAATTGTAATCAATACAGCCCTATTGCTGGTTTACACACTTTCAAGTTCACCGCTATACATGCACTAGGATTCTCAGTTTTCACCAGGCGTCTCTAGGCCAGATCTTGTTCAATCACCTTGCATTGCCGATTTTCCAGAACTCTACCCAACTCTCCAATTCTATCGCCAGCCTACCTCCAGTCTCTTTAGTCTTGACATTGTACTAATCTGTACTCATCTAATCCAATCTAAGCTGCAAACTCACTCCCGTTACATAGACGCTGCACGGACCATGCAGAAAACACAGAACTTAAAATGTTGCACGGCTCGGACCACATAGAAACATTTCCACCGTATTGTTGCGTGGTGCATGTGTTGAAACATGTTTACCTAGCCGTTTCCTAGCAATGTTTTGATGACATCCTTTACAATATATTGAGAAAACAATTTATGCGCAGGTGTACAAAATTTTGCATTTAATAACAGAATTTCTAAAAAAAAATCCTACCTCAGTTGAGAATTTTGTAATCCACCTCAGTACCCAATATATGTCTACATATTTTTATACGTATATTTTAACGCAATAGGCTTATTAAAATACCCAGGACTAAATCATACTTACCAGTTCCGTTTATTGCTGCTATCGTCTGTTCCAATTCGTAACTACTGTCAGTTCCACCGCCTTATGTACCAACTGAAAATTATCATGTACGAGTATGATAACAGAATAATAGCATTTTCTGTCATGTTTCGATCCTGTTCGTAACTACTACCAGTTCTGATCACTGATAAATTCATGCACAAGACAGAAATTCTTATCTCTATACGAGTATATGCTGAACATTGAAACTATTCTCAAACAAAGGCAGATACTAGAAATGGAGTGAGTTCACTTCTGAGTATTACACACTGATATAATACCAAGCAAATTTCTTCGAATTGGCTAGGCGATCGGGGTTTCGATTCTAGTATGGAGCAGAACCCTTTTCTCGTAATGAAGTTCGGTCTTGTTCCGGGTGCACCGAGACTTCTAACCATTGGCGTTCCGTGACTCTTTTCCCGAGCGTAAAAAGGACGAAGTGTGAAGCTGGTTCATTTATATCAAAACAGCACAGAGGTTACTAATGATCTGAATTTTGTCTCCTTCCGTTACGCCTACATGATACAGGGTATAGTCCACAGGAAGAAACATAACTTACCATTCTTTTAGTATTTATATCAACTTGAAATACAGAAGGATGCGACAGTGTCTTTAAAATCCGTTGAATATTTGGATATAATTGTGAAGATAATTTTACGATTAGTAAAAATGTTATGAGACGCGAAATATTTTCTCTATGGATATTTGTAAGAGATGTAGAGATATACAGAGTTACTATATAATAAATTAACACTTTCGACGTTTTATACAAACCAAAGTGTTACTGACACAAGGCCCGCGCCATAACTCAAGCGGTTAGTCTCTGGTTTCCCACCGCGGCGGCCCGGGTTCGATCCCGGGTCTGGTCAAGTGGAATTTGTGGTGGACAAAGTGGCGCTGGGGCAGGTTTTCTCCGAGTACTTCGGTTTCCCCTGCCAATATTCATTCCACCAATTGCTCCACAATCACTTTCACCTATCATCTGGGGCTGGTACAATAGGCCAGAAGTGGTCGCAGTACAAGGGATTTAGTCCCACCCCACTAGTAACAAAAAAATGCTGATACAGACAGAATAATTATAAGATTTCTTAGCATATTCGTATATCTCTAAGTTTGCATGACTAAGTTACAAATATTCTATGTGTGAGCTTTTTGGTACACGGCAGATATTAATACGATAATCCAATTTGTTTCAAACACACCGGAGCATGTCCTCGTCAGCACTTGCAACATTGTTGTGATGCTTTCCTTTAAATCGTTCGCAGGAAGCGGAAGAACAAAACTCTTTGATACTCGTATATCCCCACAAGAAAAAATCACAAGGCGTTGGAACCGGACTTCTTGGTGGCCAACGTGTCAGTGCCATGTTCTGCTCTGTTGAGCGGTGTTTGGAACGAATTAGATTATTGTATTGGTATCTGGAGTGTGACAAAAGTCTCATACATAGAACAGTTGTAACTCAGATATTTGAACTTGCAGACATATACTAAGAAACTATGTAACTTTTTTGGTTATGTCAATAACACTTTGGTTCCTATAAACATTTTAAAGTGTCTATTTCGTTCATAGTAACCCAGTATTTATTCACTTGTCCGCACAGATTACAGAGTAATCCGCGAAAACTTCGAAAATTATGTTTATCTTAAGTTTCGTTATAAAGTTTCGTTATGCAACCAATGTTCAGCCATTCTTCGAAGAACGTGACAAAACCCATACACTTTCGAACACGTTTGACTATTTTACACAATTAGAGTGCCAAATCTCGTTTATGCTTATACTAAGTATCCAATATGTGAAATTCACTTACCTGCCGTGATAATGGCAATGTATTTCCACCGGAAGTGGCTGACAATTGTGACAAGGGCGTCCGCAGTAGCAGACAAAGATGGCACGAGTCTGAAGAACGTGGAGTATTTATGCCGATCCGACAGAGGACTCTGTTTGGAAGACAAAATCTATTAGGATTGTGTGTCTATATACATGCTCAAAATTAATATTTACAACGATCTGAAGAAATGTATTCACATAACCACTGCGTTCCAAGTGATATATTTGCTTCAGTTGAAGAACGAACAGGCTTACTAAAAAGCCACCGAATATTCAGAAGGTTCACTGGAAAATGAGGCATAACAATCATTAAGAACAAAAAAATAACATAAAACTATTTATCTTCTACTCTAAAAGTGAGCGTGTTTTAAAAATTAAAATGCCACAAAACACTCTTATATGGAACCTACATCTATATAGGACTTCTGATTTATTTAATAAATTATACTTAATTCCATGGTGTAATGGTTTTCCTGAACGCTTTACAGTTGATTAAAAGGTAATATTAAGGCCGTGCCATAGCTCAGGCGGTTAGTCGCCGGCTTCCCACCGTGGCGGCCCGAGTTCGAGTCCAGGTCAGGTCATATGGGATTTCTGGTGACAAAGTGGCACCGTGGCAGGTTTCCTCCGAGTACTTCAGTTTTTCTTGCCAATTTTCATTCCATCGATTGCTCCACTTTCACCATCATCCGGGGCTGGTACCATAGGCCAATTAGTGGCCGACGTACCAAGTGGACTCAGTCTCACCCCACCCCCAAAAAACTAAAAAGAGTAAGACTGATACTAAATGAATGTGGAACTGACAGACTGGATTCAGCTTCTCTGGGTCAGGGTCCAATGACGGACATTTGCGATAACGTCGACGAAATTTTGCTTTTCATAAAAGGGGGAGAGTTTTTAACTATCTAAATGCCAGTCTTTTGATGACTGCCTATTCTGGTTCTAGTAATTTCGTTCTATTAATTTAAATAAATGGTTATACAATTCTGTGCACCATGGAACACTGTTCCACAAACTGACGTAACCACGAGCGGCCGCAGGTACCGAATTTCCTAGTTTACCGGTAAGGAGCTTAATTTTCAGCAGCCCGTTACTATAAATGATTGCCGCGAGAGTCAGATACTGGGTTTCCATTATCCCTTCCTTATTCGACAATTTTCACGAAATTAATGAACCTCTATGAACTCCATGAATATTGGAAAACTATAGGCTGCTCTCTAGTACAAACCCTGTTTCCATTCGGCTATTTCCTTCTTCCTCCTTCCCCATTCTTTCCTTTATTCTCTCTCCCTCTGTATCCCCTTCTTACTGTCAGTAATATATTCTTTCCTTTATCTCCTCACTCATTTCGTTTATCATGTTTTCTCTAATACTTTCCTATTCGTTATTTGTCTATTCCTCAGTCTTCATTTCTATCTTTCCCTTCATTTTCTATTTCCTGCCCTAATTCCACTCCTCTTTGCCCTATTTATCTATCGTGTATAACCTTTGAATTTTTATGAGCGAAAATATTTGGAGTTTTATTTTTGCTCAGGAGATAAGCTTGGAAAAACTTGCGTGTGCCGGAAGTGGTTAGAGCATGACGAACGTTGCTCCTCTACTTGATCTAATGAGCAAGTGACTGCATAGGAAGCAGCAAGTTCTATGTAACGCATCTGCTCTTCATAGAACGGGCCAGGCAGGTTTAAGGGCTGTATCGGTTTTCAACAAGTGCAATCAAATTTGTACATTAATTACTCTCTTTACACCGGATATGTTTTCTGGAAAACAGAGAAGCAGGTTGCTCCGTATATTGTCTTGGCGATGTAGCGCCATATAGTCCGGTAGGAGCCCACCGATTTTTCCGAGGAACGTGCTGCCTCTATTTTCAGGGTAGAAGAATAATTCAAGGAAGAAACCAACAAGAATCAGAAGGCATTTGCAGGTTTCTTGCTTGGCCTCAACTGGCGAGAAAAAGAGTGTGTGTGCCGACAGAAGACAGTGGAAGCCGACAGAAGGCAGAGTGCAGTATTTGTGTTGACAGAAGACAGTGGTTAGCCAGCAAGAAGAGATGGACAGTTCTACAGTCTAGTGAGAGTTGTTAACACGAAAGGAGCAACTATGAAAAGACCTGTTCAACATTTTGTGTTATAGTTACGTTGAATTGTAGTTACGGCATTCAGTAATAAAGTGACGTCGCAAGAATACGCCTCGAGGTCTTGTTTCACGATCCTGAAGATGGACTTCTGCCGGACTATATAACGTTACTTTCCAGGAGATAGTAGTCTTCAAAGACCATATTACAGTAAAACTTGGTTTTAGCAACATCGGTTTCTGCGACACCTTGTCTATTGCGTCAAATATTCAATGGTACGAACTAATTCCTCATAAAGCAACTGTTTTTTATACCTTGCTTAGTACAACATGCACAAATGCATCAACCTCGTATGTAACGTCATTTTCATTCCTGAATTTCTCTGATATCGTGGGAAAGTTCGATGTGTCTGCCCGCCCTCACTTTCTCTACTTGCTGACGTGACTGTCCTGGAAGAATACGACCGCGGGCTGCAAGAGGAGCGTGGGTTTTATGCGAAAACAAGGGTGTGGGGTGGGACTGCGTGAATAGTGCAAGAGGACGCGGCAGGTTGTTAACTGCATTCCTTTCCTAGAATCTCGTCT